TACTTTTTATGGATGTTCTTGTTGTTCAACTTTGGATTCATTTCTTGTTTTAATGCAAGGATTTAAAAAAATATACCAATCATAAAATTAATGAAAAATACAAAATGTTTTGAATACAAGGAGAAATATTACCAATTCTGTTTCATCTAAATTCACATTTTCAGAAACAAAATACATGTACTCACTCTGTAACTTGATGTGTGCTTATTCCAAAAGAAATATTCTTTTTATAATCAGTATTGATGAAAATGTCTGACTTCATTGCTGTGAAGATGGTTCTCATAATTATTTAGTCTCTTTTATAATTTTCTTTGATTTAATCATATTGATTTTAGTTGTCTGGTGATAATACCTGGGGGAAATTTAAATTGGTGCTTTTTTTTCTTAAAAATAATAATCAGTTAATTATGGTGATAAATACTTTTTAGTTATGGATTTATAATTAAATAAGTAGAACAATAAGTATTATAGATAATTGAAAATTTAAATCTTTGCAAATCAAATTTAAGTTTCTTATTTCACTTATGGTTATTGAAATGACTAGAATATGAAATGTTACACTGGTTAATTAATCATAATCTTAAGAGAATTTTACATTTAATAAATTCATGACTCGCAGACAGGATTTTTTGGGATACTTGTTAATGACATTTTAATTACTTCTTGAATTTGTATAGTAATATTTATAAGGTGCAATGTGAACAACAAATAGGATAATTTATTGCTCTTTAAGCAAATACTCATGTCTGTTAGAGTATTTTGTTTTAATAATGTTTTTTTTTTTTTTTTTTTTGGTATTTCACATGAATAGAATTTTTCAGTAATCAACAGAATTCAATAGACTATGAGATTTTTTTTCTTGCATACACCAGTCATCATTTGTAACATCTTTTCATTACTAGCGAGTCAGGTGTCAAAAATTGAAGATTCTATCTAGCTCTGCCAGTGCCATGGTTTTATAGGCTACAGGGCATTACTTTTATTAAGGTTTTCATGTAATCCATCATAAAGGCTTATTTTAAAAATATCAAATATAAAATTACAGTAAGATTTTTAAAATAGTCTTTTATTTAATTTTTTTTCTTACATCTCAAATTCAAATTCTGTCAAATGATACATTTAAAATTCTGTATCTTTTATTTTTTTAAATGAAAATAATGTAACTATCTACAAGTAATTCAAGTTTGTTTTTCAGAATAAAGTAATGTTTATAGTTATAGTGCTAGAAATTTTAGTATTTCAAAAGATTCATTATATATGATGAAAAATTTAAAAAAATCTCAACCTCATGGTTAATAACAGCACTTCTCCAGAACAAAAAAAGAAAAACTTTGTAAAGAGCAACATTGCATTTAAGTCATTTGAGAGAGTATTTCTATTGATAATAAAAATAAATATCAAAATTTCTCTTGAGGAGATTGATCTGATACCTTCTGAGTCGAGTATAATTTTAATTATTGTTAGAATATTGCTAACAATACAACACTACTCTGCCAATCAAATTACTAAAAAGAAATCAAAATTTTCTAGGTGCTTCACAGTAAGAGATGCCAACCCATTGTCAATAAAATTTTGGTGCATAATTTTTAAAATTAAAATATTAATTTTTAAAATTTAAAAAAATTTTTTTTGCATAATTTTTAAAATTAAAATACCTTTGAACTGTAAGACCATTTAAATCATATGATGCTTAACTCTATTCTCTCACTATAGCATATGAATTCATTTCAAACTCCAGACCATTAGCAACATGATTACTCCACTGATTATTTCTTGACTTCTACCATCTTTCTTTGAAAAAGGATTAATAATATTCAAAATGACTCTGAACATTACACACAATTTCATTATGTTTCTTTACAAGTTTACACATGACATCACACAAATTATTCAATACCAAGAGAAACTCACCAAAAACCTTTATAGATATTACTTGTCCATTCTATTTAATAAAACATGTTCCAAGGCTCAATAGATTAAATATTTTTTTTTATCTAAAACACCTAATTAATGATTATAGTTCTGAAATATTAAATATAAAGTTTAAAAATTAAGGATACCCCCCCCTACTAACTTTTTTTTTTTTTTTTACACAACTGAGTCAATACACCTGCAATTCACACTTTTGAAAGACATAATTGTTGACAGCCAGCCTTTGTGTGAATTAATCTTGGAGAATAAGAACATAATCTCTTGATAGCCTGTCCCCTGATTTATGGTCTCTAATTAGTGTCTCTATTCTTTGTCTACGATGTTCTAAGTAGCTGATTTTGAGGAACCTTTAATTAAGATCATACATATGGCTCTGTTTTTCTAAGTTATTTATACAACAATGAAAATATTTGTATATTAGTAAATTTTGTCCTTTGCATCCAGAATTTAATAAATTTGAAGAAAGGGTATTGAATTTGAAAAGCTATTTGGGTTTTGTTTATCAACAAGGAAACCGATCTTTTCTAATTTTACAAAGTAATAACAAATTTGCTTACTTTCTAGAAAGGTTAATTCAGGATATAATTAAGACGTTGATACTTAGCTTGAGTTGCCTTGCTAAGGAGAAATGGTTAGGAAGTGCTAATCTCTTGACAACATTAACACTGCAATGATTTCAACATTCACTGGTTGCTGTATGCTTGTGTCCCTGTACCAGACTAAGCTAATCTTAGTAAAGACTTTATTTGCCTTGTAATTATAGTATTGAGTTTATCTAAATTATACATAAGTGGAATGGATTTTCTCAACTATATATTAATTCCCTACACTCCATGGCCTGGTCTCTCTTTACTACTCAACTTCCTTACCCATGTTTATTTTAGATCTGAAGAGGTCTTTGGGTGAAGTTATCTGAAATGTTCATCCAACTGAGCAAATCACTTATCCCCACTCTCAAAAAAGAATAAAAGTGTATTTGCAGGATAGAGAAAATATCATCTCTTTATAATAGCAAAAACAATGCATTTATTCAGTTAACATATTTGAACTATTCTTCATTTAACACTGCAAATGATTTGTTGGATCAGTAGCTGACTTAGTATAGACAAGCAATTCTTGTGCCAGGCTTGAAATGAAAGTTTATCTTTTCTGTTCTGTAAGTAGAAATTGAATTTAAAAAAAAAATCTTCTTGTCTTTGGGACCCCTTTTTATAAGTTCATCTTACAAGGATGTTTGAGGAAAGGAGTTTGTGATTATAAATCCTGACTGCTTCTCCTGGCAACAACAGCTTAAGGGCCAAAATTGAATGGCTTATAAACATTCCTTGGTGTGCTTGCAGTTTTGGATTAATGATCTGTAAGTTTCTATCAAGCACTTTCTACACTCTTTCCAAATTTGGCTCAGTCATTCCCCTGTCCAGTTCTAATGTAGCTATTCCGATATTTGGTTGGTTCAGTTCCCTATCTGTACCAATGGCAAGATGCTTGTTGCATTATCAGGTAATTCATCTTCAGCCAATTAATTCTTTGGTGAAAAATTACAATTTTATCACATCATCATTAACTACAGGGTGGTTCGAAAGTCTTATCACCCGCTACCAAAAAGTAATGAGAACAATAGAAGAACAAGTAATACAAGGCACATGTACTGGTTACAGTTTATTAACTTTCATTGACATCAAGAAGGTCTGTATATTTACCAGGTAGAGTAAATTGCAACTATAGCAGCATATCCCATAAAAAGCCACGCAAAAAGTTTATATTCTTCATAATACATGCCAAATAAAAATTGGATAGGCATCTTAAAAAGTTTTTCTTTTTTTCTTCTTTTTTTGTTTTTTTTTTGTTTTTTTTTTTTCTAGTTTCTTAAACATGGACATCAAGTCTTGATAAATGAGAGCTCTAGTCAAAAGTTTGTTCCTTTCTCCTTTACTTACTTTCTTTCCAAACAAGCATTTCTCATGGTTATCTACTTTCCTCCAGAATTCTATTGTTTCACTCTTTCATTTCTTTCTCTACTTGTTTAATAATCTCCACACACATACATACATATATATATATATATATACACACACACACACACACACACACACATATTCTTTCTTTCCCTACTTTTCATGCTAAAGTATATCTTACTCTTTTTTCTTCACAATATATTCTTTTTTTGTTGACAGCAATGTTTTGTTTTTTTTAGTTATTCACCTATAAAGCTGAGAATCATCAATGTTCATTGATTTTGGTTGGAGACTAATGTATATCATTTATTTGCACCATCTCCAGATCTTTTTCATGTTAGCTTTTTATGGGGGCTCTACTGATTGTTAATTTTCTCCTCTTGCATCCATGCACACCCATCAGTACATATTTTGACACTTTCTCTGTTTTACCAAAGACCTCAACAACATTACCACTATTACAAGTCATGATCAGTGTATGAGCTCTACCAGCCTACCATACCAACCTCTACTCTCCACTTTCTCTAATTTACTTATCAGCTTTTGTAAGCTAATTTCTTTTACTGGTCTTAACAATTCAGGCAAAGCTACACTGAAGAACTTATGCATTAGGGGCTCTCATAATTGTATCCATTTACTAGTCAAGAATCTTTCATCTCAAATTTTTTTATGGCTGATAAGAGTGGAGAGCAGAATGATGGATCCCCCAAAGACTGATCATTCTATTGGCAACTCAAGAGTGCTCAAGTGGGATGTTACCTCAATTGTTACTGTTACTTTTCCTTGTTATACCTGAAAGAGGTTCTATTCTTTATTTTTCCCAATTCTAATGCTCATACAACATTTGAAAAACTAATGGTTTGGGGGATTATCTCACTTAATGTAACTGTTACCTGGCAATTCCAGCCAGTTCTTCCTTTGTCATCCTTAAATAATTCAAGCAAGTGTAGTTAGTGACTTTCACTCACACATATATATCAGACTTTTAGATGAGCAAGTGTCAAGTGAAGATTTTTCAGGTGTAAACAGCATGGATGTTGTTCTAGCTAAATTAAAAGCTATATCCTCTGATTCCAATTTATATCTAGCATGTACTGAAAGTTCTTAGACTTACAGCCACATCAGCCACTGAAACATCAATTCCCATATGATCACTAGTTAAGCAATGTCAACCCTGGTTAGTACTTAGATGGGTGACCACTTGAGAATATCAGGTGCTGTAAGCTTAGATGTGCGGGTGGTGTAATGAATAATGGCTATAAATTGTCAGTCATAAAGCCAAGTTTCAATTCCTGTTGGGTTCGTTATATTCACTTATGTACAAATATAATTTGGAAAGGTATGAATCCTCCCTTCTTCTCCTCCTACTATGGGTTAACTAGTAAGACTTGTATCACTAAAGCATTATTATCTAAAAAAATGTTCTTACAATCTAAAACTATTTTCTGGCTTTAAATAACCTGCAAAGAGTTGATAAGCCATAGAAAACAAATCAATACAAGTTCTTGTTCTGTTTTTTAGGGTAAGGAATAAACAATCTTATCACTTGACAATCTTCATGGGTACTTTCTCTTTGTCTCAGACACAACAGCACCAATCCCGATAATCCATTATTCGCTATAAAAATGAAACAACCAAAATAGTTACAGAACTATAACATGGTTGTAAGGACAGTAGATAATAGGTGAAAAGATCGTTCAAACTGAATCCTAAGCAGAACTTCTCTGAAGCGAACAGGTGTCATGATGTTCGGTGATAGGTGTCCCAGGGAAAGTATTCTGATATGCTCTAAATATAAAAACTGTTATGTCTGATGCAATCAATCCATCATAATTGACAATTGCAAGTACAGTTTTTACAAAACTCCCTAATTCCTACAATTCAGTTTCTGTTATATATCTCAGTCCACCTCCTATAGCCTTAATATCTTCAATTAATTAATATTCTTCTTATTCTTGACCAGCTGAATTTAAGTAACATTTAAGATTGATACACTTCTTTTTGCCACCTGAGCCAGGATTATCTGATCCTTTTCTAAGGCTATAAATTTTCTCTCGATTGCTTTCTGATGTCTTTCTGTTACAGTTCCAAAATGCTTTTCTCACAATTGTAGGTAGGACTGCTTTGTTTTCTCTGTTTGGAAACAATTTCAATTCTCTATATTTTTTTTTATCCCCCACTTCATTTGATTCTCCTATATATGCAAGTAGAACAGACTCAAGCACCATTATTGGTTCAAGTATCTTTTAGCCACCATTTCTCCCACAATACCTGCCTTCACTATATCTGCTCCCAAGTTTATTAACAACGGGCCAAACGGTCTTAGGTCTGTCATTAGTTAACCATGATGAATGAGCAATTATTATTTCACTGGATTTCTTGAATATCATGTTCTGATTGTGCTCCAGTGTTCCTACTACTACTACTATGAATAGTAATATTAACTTGGTTAACCTGCAAAATAATACAGGCACAATTACTCAAGATTTAACTCCTGGCATTTTCCTTCTCAAAATTTCATTCTCTTATCCAAGAAACAGTTACAACTCTCTATCACTTCATTAATCTCATCAGTTTCAACACCTGAATTTTTCAAAACTTTACTTTCTCAAAAATACTTCTCTTTGTAAACTCTACGTAACATTTACACAAATACTCCCTAATTATCTTACCAAAAATTTTCTCTCTTCAAAACTGCTCCAGAGATATCTTATTTGACACCTTCCATCCACCAAATGTTGAGATAACAAGGGAAACTGACACATAGTCGTTGCCTAAACTATGCACAGTGGGCCCTTATTGAACACCTGATCATGGCACCTGAAGAAATGATCCACACCCAAATGTACCGCCATACCTGCTGTTCAATGTTCAAAGGTGCCTGTCATCTTTTTATTCTTCATATTTAGGATGGCTGGATCTGCTTGTCTTTGTTGATTCTTATGATTTGTCTAGAGATGCTTCTCTTTGTTGATTCTTATGATTTGTCTAGAGATGCTTTTCTTTCTCTCTTACATGCAATTTAAGCTTATATTTTAATGGAGCCTTTTCTTTTTTTCTGACCTCTCTTTCCATCTTGGCAAGTGAGATTGCATCTTCTAGACCCCAGTGTCCTGAATTTGACTGAGAAGAATTATCTACCACATTAGGATTGATTTTCTTTTCTTCCTGAATTTGAAGAATTCCTATAAGTTCTCTGATGGCCCAGACTCTGATTCTATCAGTCATGCTCTTGATTGTTTCTGAAGTCATCTTTATTTTGCAAACTTCCCTGTCAGACACCTTTTAAGTCATTGTTATGTATCTGCTTAATCTCTACTTTATAATTTGATCCTAAATAAGGTTACTGGACCTGTTTTTTTTTTTTTGTTTTTTTTTTGGTGTTTTTTTTTTTTTCATTATTCTATTATAAAATCTTTTATTAAGCTTTCTCTGTCTGACATGAGAAACTTCTTGTCAGCCTTTTATTTACCTTTTCATGCCTCTTCTCTAAGGCTCCTTTGAACTGAGACCTGACCTAGATTAAAATCTTATATTGCTTTTGGATAAACCTATAGTGATTTTTTACCCATATTTTCTGAAAGTCTTTAACAAGTTGTCTAAAGGCAGTACCATATCACATCTAAACATAGGGAAAAAAATTTGTTTGTTTCATTCATAGAAAATCTTACTACATCAAATATTTCTCTCGGGAATAGATCCCAATTTTCGTTCTTCTCTTCGGCCAAAATATCCTCCAAGTATCTTTTTATAGTGTTTTTAATTGCTTTCAGGGCACAATTATTTGTCCTTTGTATTTGTAGATTCTAACTATATAGTTGTAACTATTTTTTTTAAATTAAATATTTTTCATTAATTAATATGAGAAAACAACTTTTTAAGCTTATTCATTAAGGATAGCATTATGATAATTCAATTGATAGAACTCTAGGAAGATTAAGAAAATAAACTTGACTTTTCACTCCTTTTCAATAAAGTTAGTCATTTTGTTTTAGAAGTATTTAAACAATACTTTTTTATTTTATTTAATTTTTGTTTTATTTTTTTGATTTACTGTTGTGGAATAAATAGTACAAGATGACTATATGAACTAGTCTATAACTATAAATAAAGAGCTTCAGGTTAGAGGTAAGGAAGAAGCTGTTTAGAGTCAGTCTTCAAACTAAGTAATACAAACATCACGGCAAGTAATTGAAACATTACTTATAAGTGTTACAAAGTGAATTATAACAGTGGTCATGAGGGATTTGAAACTCTACAATTTATAACTGTTGTGATGATTCGGAACTCTTACCACTTATAAAAGTAACAGGGATTCAGGAACTTACATAAGTTGTAACTCAAGTTACAAGGATTTTGGAAACTCATACTGAATGAACAAGTATGTAAAAAAATATATACTTGTTGCTTCAGGAACAAGGATACAGGTAAGAATTTTAACCATGTTTGCTTAAAAAAAAAATTTTTTTTTGTAGAAAAAAAAAACAAAAGTTTTTATTTCTTGGGTGTTGGAAAAAAAAAAAATTCTTGCAAATATGGAGTAAGTTTTGACTTTGATAGTTGAAATTCAATAAGAAAATCAACAGTTGCTAGAACTACAAAAGCAGTAACAGGAATTATTGGATATAATTCTGAAGAAAACAATTCTTCAATGTCCAGACACTGTCCAAAACACCATATCAGAATTTATTTACAATCCTGATGGACAAGCTATGGATACCATGCTTGCAGATTGCAATTTCGCAGTGGCATATCTGGATGACATTTTAATTAAAAGAACATGTTTGGCATGGGAAAACAATTTTGGAAAAACTAAGAGAGTATGAATTCAAGCTTGGTGAAGAAAAATGCGAATTGTTTTTGCCAAAAATTAAATACCTTGATCAAATTGATGATAAAAATGTTTGTCAACCAGATCCGTTGAGGGCAAGTGCAATTAAAAATATGCCTCCACCAACAAACATGACTGCATTACAAGCTTTTCTAGGACTGGCTAATTACTATCAGATATATGTACATAATAATTTGAGAGCTCCACTGAATGATCCTACTTAAAAAAAAAAAGAAAAAAGTGGGATTGGAATGATAACTGTCAGAAGGCATTTGACAAAATAAAAAAAAAAAAACTTACAGCAGATTTATCATTAACACACTACAATCCAAAAGCAGAAATTTTAGTGGCATCAAATGCTAGTGAGTACAGTATTGGAGTAGTGATCCTACACAAATATGATCGTGGTAAAATAAAAGCCTTCACTCATGCTTCACACTTACTTCTATCAACAGAGAAAAATTACAACCAGATAGAAAAAGAGGCTCTTGCAATTACATTTACTGTGAAGAAATTTCATGAATTTATTTATGGAAGAAATTTTAGGTTGCAAACAGACCACAGTCCTCTATTAACGATATATAGTTCAAAGAAAGCAATACCTATGCATACAGCTAATAGACTACAACACTGGATTACCATCTTATCAAACTATGATTTTACAATGGTGTACGAACCATCTAAAAATTAGGACATGTGGATGGATTATCAAGATTAATACCCAAAAATGTAGAACCATTTGAGGGCATGGTCATTGCAACGCTAAAAAGCAAAATGGAAATAGAAAAAATATTTTGTGTAACATAGTACAAGAGTTACCAGTTATCCTGGAAGAAATAAAAGAAAAAGCGGAAAATAATCTTTATTGAAAAAAAAAAAAGCAAAGCAATCGAAAGAAAGTAACAAAGAACAAAATCCATACTTAAACACTTGCTATGCAAAGGTTTAGTAATGTTCAGTCAAAGGGTTGTAATACCTAATGTGTTACAGAAATGAATATTGAAGGATTTTCATAGTGAAAATCATGGTATTTCAAAAATTAAATCTCTGATGAGAAGTTTTGTATATTGGACTGGAATGGACCAAGATATTGGAAAAATAGTGAAAGCTTGCAAAGGTTGTGCTATGGCAGCAAAACTACCTATTACAAAGATAGAACCTTGACCAAAGATAGACACACCATGGTCAAGACTGTCTATAGATTTTGTAGGTCCTATGAATTGATCACATTATCTTGTGGTAGTTGATAGTTTCACTAAATGAATGGAAATTTGTAAGTGCAAAAATCCAATATCTTCAGTGACAGTGAATTTCTTGTATGAACTGTTTGTAAGATATATGGCATCCAGAAAGAGGAGGGGGAGATACTAATATCATTAGAAAAAAAATATTTTTAAAAAGTATATATTTCAAAGTACACCCCCAGTGACTATATGAATTAGTACAAAAAAAAATGAAATTTTGTATTATAGGTATTTTATAAGAAATAATAAGAGAATTCTATTTATTGAAATATTTGTTTCAGTGTACCTGTATGTGTGTGTTCATGCCTACTTGGGTCTCTTAGTAATTCTGTACTGTTGAATCTTTCTTGTAATTTACATTAGATCACCTCTTAGTGTCACCTGTCTTATAAGTCAATTTCTGAACAACTTTCGCTTGGTCAATATTTTCTCTGCATCCTTCCTTGATTAAAATCTATTGATTTCTAAACAATCAATGACCTTCTGATACTTCCTTGAAGATCATAATTGGTATTTGTTATTCCAAAAAAATAGTGTTTCTGTCAGCATTCAAGAAAAGAAGGCGATTTGCATTAACAGAAATTTGTTTCTTCATTGAAAGCTTTTTTTCTTTTTCTTTTTTTTTTTTTTGCATTTTATTTATTTTTTACAGATCTTTTACATTTTATTATAGTTTCCATTTTCATGGTAACCACTTTGAGTTTTTAATAAAAAAATTATCAGAGAGATAAAAATAATCATTTAAAAAATTCAATTTTAACTTATTAGCTGTATCTAATACAAGTGCAGACTTTACTATGAAATGAGCAACTTAGTTTCTGAAGTTTACACTTTCTTTGATTTCTTCAAATTAACCCACTCTGAAAAAACAAGTTACTTTCATGAATTAATTTCTTACTCTATGATGAAAATGAAGAAATTTGTGCTTATTGCATATCACTAATAAAGGAACTATTTTTTTTTTTTTTTTTTTTTTTTAATCAATATTGATAAAGTTTTAAAAATAAATTTATTTTTTCTTAAACATCTTGGTAATATGATATGGTTTTGGAAATCTAAAACTTCGTAAAATTTGTATATTTCCAAAAAGATTTCCGGTACATCTAGTTGATCATGTGATGGGTGTTAATGTTGTGCAGTCAAATACAGTGTTACCCATATGTGGGTACATTCAGTCACTCCTGGACCATAAGCATGTGAAACTTGTAGATGGATTTGAACACTTCCAGCCATAAAGAGTTAACTTCGATGATAAAAAAACTGAAATCTATGCAACAATACAAGATTGCACTTTTCACTTCAAATAGACAAAATCTGATAGTGAATAGTCTCCAATATCCTCATGAAATAGAGAAGGTGCTGCTGACCACAAAAGAAATCATCTTGAACCATGAAACGGACATGCTTTTCCACATATTCATTTAAGTTCACCACACATCATTGCTCAAGTTTTTTTAACACTTGCAAAAGATATTTTTGATGTTCAGTTATTGAAATACTGCTCAGCTACTGTTATCACTTCCAAATCATTTGAATGTTTCTGATCTTTCAAAGTTCTTTTAAGGTTTGCAAATAGGAAATAGTCAATAGTCAGATCTGAAATATAATTTTCTGATTTGTTGAAAGCTAGTTTTAATTTATATAATACTAAGACTAATATTCTATGTATAGTGTGCGATGGATAAATTGTCTAAATTACACAAAAATGAAAATAACACTGAGATCTCATTTTAACAGATATATTTACCAAAGTTACACAAAAATACATTGAAATACTAAAGAGTAAATTTATTCAATAAATTCACCACTGGCTTCAACTGCAGCCAGACTACTTGGGAATCTCCTACATCTCTTCTGGACAGTCTCCTTGTTTAAATTAGTGAATGCTACCATAATCCTTGCTTCAGTTCATCTTTGGTATTACAAGAAGTCTTGTTGGTCTCTCACTCAACTGCACCCTGCGCATAATAATCAAGGGGGTTGCAGTCTGAGGAGTTATGTGGCCAGATGTAATGGGTGATGTGGTTACAGAAATTGTCTGATAGCCATGACTGAGTTCTGATTGTGGGGCATGATGCAGAGTCCTGTTGCCAGACATAGTCTTCCAGTAGCCATTCTCTTGACCCAGTGCAGCACTACTGACTCAAAGCACTTGATGTAGGCTTCCGTGTTCAGTTCCTGTGGGAAGATGAATGGCGGTATAACATTGCCATCACTCCAAACACCATGATGTTGACTGGATATATCATCCAGCTCTTTCTGAATTCTCTGCACTTTCCTCAAATTGATGGCCAAACACTCTGAAATGTTCATATTGGAGCTTCTGGCATGAATGCCAAGTAGTACAGCATACTGTTTCTAAATTTCTGGCAGAGTGAATTGTGTCATGGTACTCTTTTTCTCATAGATGGTGCCCAAACAGTTGACCAAAAAAAAAAAAAAAAGAAAAAATGATGTGCAAAATTAAAAATATAAAATAGCGACAATTTACCCATCGCACTCTGTATATTTGTTCCTGAGATACAGCTTAAAAGATACATAATACCCCAACCAATTTAGGAGTGTATTGTACCTTGAAACCCTGCCAAATTTCATTAATATTAGACAATGGCTTCTTGAGCTAGGGCTGTTTTTACTACCTTTTTAATAGGAATTTCATTTTTTTTTTATACACATTCTTATTTCAATCTGTGTATATAAACACACATTTGCATATTATATACCAACTATTATGTGAGTGAAAAATAATAAACATTCATAATGCATTATAACAACATTATTAAATAAATTTAAATATGCATGACACAACATATTTATGAAATTCACTACATTAGAACTTTTTTTTTTTATAAATAAATAGCAACTACTTGATAGGTGAAGAGACGATGTGGATGTGCCATTGTAAAATGTAATTGTTATGGCTTGAAAATTGTATGACATGACTTGATGGTAAATAAATAAATAGATGTATGCTGGTTTACTGCCATTATTTTTTTTAAATAAATGTGAGGAAGAAAAAAATAAACAATAAAAAATATAATTATTTTGAAAAAATTTCCTAGGAAAAAAAAATTAAACTAAGTGCACAAAAATATGGTATCCATACTTTATTTCAATAAATATGACTCACCCTAAACAGACAATTACTGTTTGTTTTTTTCTTTGTTTTGAAATGACCTTCACCTATGAAAATTATAATATGGTAAATGCTAAAATTGGTATAAATTGTCATCCTGGAGCTAATACTTGAATGGAAAGCCCTTTAGTTTGATATGAGTTTGCAATTCCATTCTAAAAAAAAGTAGAATGTTGTGAATATAAAATTATTCCTTTACATAAACAATCTAATAGTATTTAACCTTTTTGTTATAAATTCTCAAAGAACAAAGAAAATGTATAAACTTACTTTCATATGTTAGGGTTTTTATTAAAATTCTAATAATTGTTTTTTAAAACAATAAACATTGTCAAGAGATTAAAGGTAGTACAAAATAATAGTGGTGTCAAGGGAAAAAAAACTGTCCTTTTGACATGCGCTGTTTTATTGTGGGCATGAGGGTTAAACTTTTTAAGAAATGTATTCTTTTTCATTCTAATAGATGCATTACAAAAATGTTATTTCTCATTTCATTCCATGAGATTTTTTACTTGACATTTTGTTTTCTAAATGATAATGTTCAAATGGAAACACAGCATTTACATGATTTTCCCCCCCCCCACACCCCCCACCAATTATTAACTCTCTTATTCATAGTTTAATACTGGTACTCATTATTGCAAACATACATTTCACTATGGTACAAAACTTGTGCATTTTTTTATATAGACAATTTGAAAATTTTGTAAATATGGTTTAACTTTCCTCTATACAATTTTTGTTATTAAATAGTGAATAAATTTTACTTTTCAATGAAAATGGTTTTAATTATAATTCTTTTAGTCCCAATACCATTTAGCTCATTAGTGTGTTAGGTTGGATAATTCCTCTTCATGACATTTTGCAAGACAATGGGAGATTCTTTTTTCTTGTATCTATTTCCTCTGTAATGCGTGACAGATTGTACTAGGTTATATGGCATCAACAGCAAAACATAATTCTTGATCTGGTTATAAATAATTAAATAATTTCAATGTATGATGCCTATCTGCTAATGTCTTGATACCTATTAAATATATGTCTGTGATAAGATATGTAAAATATAGCATAAGTTTGTTTTGATTAGTAAATTAAATCTTATAAACACATATTTAGTTAACAGTTATAAGTCTGCTATTCTTCTATGCTTTGAATATTACTCCCAAATCTGGTCTGGTACTCCTGCTATATATTTAGAGATTCTTGATAAAATCCCAAAAATCTGTGATGTTATTGGTCCTGACCTGGCATCTTGGCTTCAGTCACTTTTCCCACCACCATAATGTAGTTTCCCTGTGTCTTTTTTATAAATAATTTCTTGGTAATTATTCTCATAAACTTTCCTCGATGGTACCTAGACTTTATGAATTTAAGCATAGTACTAGATTGATTGCAAGTTCTCAACATTTTACAGTTGAACTGTCTAGATGTAATTGTAAGTTTAACAGTTTCTTCTATCGCACTTCTCACTTGTGGAACTCTCTTCCAACTTATTGCTTTCCAGTCAACTTTGATCTTCAAAAATTTAAATATAATGTCAATCATTACCTTCTGTCTTCTTAATTTTTGTCTTTTTAATGTTTTCTCTCTTTAATAGTGTTCTCTATTTTCTAGCATTCAGTAACCTATTTTCTAGCATTCAGTAACCCCTTGTGTCTTAGGAGCATTATTGCCTTGCTTGGCAGTAAAATGATTAAAAAAACAAAGACAGCAGATTGGTATCACAGATTGAAATTAGTTGAAGCTCATCAGGGTTATAAATAGTTGAGAAATGTTAAATGATATAAGTTAAATTTATGGCATCTATTAAATATTTGACAAATAAAAAACCTTTTAATAGTAGTGAAAATTTTTTAATTAAAAATAGATATTCAAAAATATTTGTCTTAGATATGCTTCTGCTTGTAAGTCAGATACATTTACGGTAATAACAATTGTTTTGTACAGATATGAAACAGATGTTTAGTCAAATTATAAGTACCCAACATATTTGGTTCATTTGATTTATGATATTCAAATCATACTAAATTACCTAAAGCCTCATGCAGTCTTTTCTTTTGTGATACTAGACAAACTAAACAGCTTTTTTGCATTTCTAATAGTGCATTTTCAGGTCCATCTTAAGGACCTGAAAAATCCTTAATCTGTTGGATTATATGTAGTTAAAAACTTTTTCTCTTTTTTATTAAATGTCATTTGATATTTTAAAGTTATTTTCAATTTCAATATGACAGACAATAACATTCATGATTTTTATCTCTCATTGGATTTCAACTTCAGCAAAAATAATTCTGATTCATTATTTCTCTTTTCTTTTTTTTTTTTTTTTTTTTTTTTTTTTTTAAACTTTTCATCAATTCACAGAAATGGTAAAGAGTTTTGGAAAATCTTCAAAAATGATTTGAACTGCATATTTATTTTAAAAGCAATGTTTGTCAATTCACAATTCACTTCCCCACCAACAAAATTTTAAAGCTTAATATAAATAAGAAAATTAAAATAACTATTATTGATAAAAAAAAATTAAAAAATAAATATGGAAGAAGTATTTTACATTTTACAGCCATAAAACAAATATATATCAGTAAATACTGGGTTTAGAAATTTAATTTTTTTTTTTTTTTTTTTTTTTTTTTATTCATTTCAGAATATTTATTTTACTTTCATTTCACCTTCCATTCATAACCCATAATGCTCATTCTTTCATTTGATTGAAATTAAATCTTTACCTTTGGATGAATTTGTTTTTCCATTGATTGTTTAATATACTTCAAAACAAAGTATAACATATTTCATTTGTTTAAGGAATTATGTTTTAATTATTGATTCCTTGCTTTTTATATGATCCCCTAAGAGATCTTTCGATGGGGATTTTCTGTTTTGCTGCTCACCAAGTTTGTTTGTGTTTTTTTTTCTTTCTTTTTTATTAATCATAATGTTTTTCTCCTTTTTCTTTTCCAGGAAAAAATCGGAAAATACAAAAATTACACCTCTAAAAAGCTTGAAAAAAATTTCCAAAAGTCCAAATTTGCCCAAAAAGAACAATCAAGACAATGCTGGTTCCGGGGCCAAACCAAAGAGTGTGACATCTCTACAGCCAGATGATGTACAACAGTACCTCTCACACAGCGCAGAAGAGCTTGATAATGTAAGTGACATAAGATTTTACTACAAATGTCTTTACTACTTCTGTTAAGAAGATTTAATGTTGTTTGCAGTAAAGTAGATTTGTGATCTTTCATTGTAACTTTCTTTACGTTCTTTCTACTCTGCACTTGCGTATGATTTAAAGTTCAATCAAGTCTATATTTTGCAATGTTTTCTATTGTAGAGAAACACTTACTTTATGATTTCGCTCTCATAACACCAAATGTCATGCAATATAGTTACTATAACCTAAAATATTTTCTTTCTAATATTTACACTACAGTAATGTAAAAGATAAAATTTTAGTAACTACAGTTTATTGCTTTTTTGAGAAAAAAAAAGCACTTTAAAAAAAATTTCATGCAACAGCATCATATTTTGTTTTCGTCAATAAAAGCACCATCTGCCTTCATTACTGCTTTACAAATTCTTGGCATTCTTTCCAACAGTTTTTTGGGGGGAAAAAAGTAGATGGCAGACCTTCCCAAGCATTCTTCAAGCACTGAAAAAGCTTGCTCTCACTTTTCGGATATTCTCTTCAAACTCTCTTATCTAATTCATCCCATACTAATTCAATGGTAGAGAGGTCAAGAGATTGAGGCAGTCAAGTTATAATTTCAAAAAAAATTTTTTTTTTTTTTTTTTTTTTTTTTAAATAAATGCAGAGTGGTCCCAAACTTCTTTCCTTTATCATATGCAGTTTTTATTGATGGTTTTGCTATTGCACGTCTATTTCATGCATTATTTCAGAAACTTTTATTTAGATATCAGATTTGTCTGGAGGTCAAATTCTTATGATATCCATCTTAGGTCTGATTACTTTTATAAAAAGAAATAAGATATTTATTCTTGGCTTTTAGTGTTTATTTATTATTCTGTGTGTGTGTGCTTTGTACAATACAATAGATAAATTGGTATGTTTCTGCTTGTATTAGAATTGAAAAACTAATTTGAATAAAACAACAAATTTTCTGCACATAGAACAAAATGCAAATAAAACCTGAATTTATTCAAAAAAATTCTGAGTCAAACCTGCTGGATATTGTAAAAAGAATGTTACAATTTGTTAAACTTATGCCCTATAAATATTTTAAAATACTGTTGATTATTGATGTAAGTACCAAGCTTGCTTGTCAGATTTCTGTTGGTATGTCTGCCAATCCACATATTATCTTTGACACCTGACCAATGTTGCAATTGATCCAAAAGGATGTTCTACCTCCCTATTATATTAGGTAACTCATAAATTCAGATGTCAGTGTGACACTGACTTCATAGGTAGAATGGGTCAGGATTTGTAATCAAGGATCAGTCAGTACATACCAACCTATATTTGTTCAGGAAGTTAGGTAATTTGCAGAGGTGCATTAACACAACTGGTTTGGTGATAGCTGAACATTTACTTAAAAATTCTCAATGTGCCCAGTTGACTAACAGAGATGTGTCTTTGGTACTGAAGAAGAACTCAGAATTTCATTTGAATATAATTTATTTATATTAAATCCTATCAGCCATCTCTCTATAAGCAGAAGAAGTGGTTGATAAGCTTAAATGTAATTAGCCTTAAATTGTTATATATTCATCATATAACTTCTGGACTTTGATGTCTGTTTTAGTTGTTGTGTACATTTCTTGTCCTCACTTGAGTTCCAATGACAAAGAATCAACAAACTGATCAAGCTGCTTTTTTGTTAATTGTGTTTTGTATTTCAATATTATCATTTTATGGCATTGTAAATTTTTTTTTTTTTTTGGCTACCTCTCTTTTTTGTTATTTATCTTGTTTTAACATGTATGTTTTTATCACTATTATTAAATAAAAAGAGTATTTTTCTAGATTGTAAGTCATACAAACTTAGCTTACCATACTGTAGACTTTTGAGGGAATAAACATCAATACAGCGGCAGCTTGTCTCCAGAAATTCTCCTTCATGCCGAGTAACAACTATGAGCCAATTCTCGCTTGTCAGATGCAGCACCTGTTTATTTCTAGATCAAGAAGTTGGTAATTGGTTCAGGTGTGACAAAAAATTTGCATAACAAGAAACATGTGTGCTTTTTCTTTTCTGACATAGGATATACATAATACTCTGTCTGATGAGGTAAGCCTCTGTTTTCTTCATTACACTCCCCCTAATCTCATGATCACAAATCAGACAGCCTGGAGCAGGTATATTTACCCTTATGCTTTGTTGTAATGGGACCATCTCCATTACATGTGTTGGAGTCGTCTCTTGAGGAGTCATCAGGCATATCCATAGTTTCCAGAATTTCCATGTCTGTGGAAGCATTGAATTCATAGAGTTCATTTACTCAATCAGTTTCTGACGGTAAATTGCATGTTGATGTACCAGAGTCTATGAAAAGGTGAAGATCTTTTACATGCTGAGTTCATCCTGTCAACCATTATGTTTGTAGATTTACAGTGTTCATTACACAATCCACTTGATATCTTGAGGTACATTGGCTATGGGGAGCTTTCAACCACATTGTTCCCAACTCTGTACATGAAGTGATTCTTACAACAATCCAGTGGTGTTTTTGTACTAATTCCCTTCACTGTAAGTTTGTAGTGGTGAATCATATTGGTGTGTACCGTAGTGGACAATGTGTCATTCTTCGATGTGATATTATGCCAGTACACTGCCTCCATTATCAAACACTGCTTTCTTGCTGCAATTCTCTTTATGCTACGATGAGACCTTAACAAAGAAACATGTGCAATGGAAATGAAGTTGGACCCCCCATTCATCCTAGAAATTTTTAAAGGACTTAGGGTCATTGTCAGTTATGATTTCTAATGGTGGGCCTTGCTCAAAGAAAAGTTTCCAACTGTTAGCTCACACTTCTTGAGTCTTGCCAAAGCAGGCATCACCATATGTCAAATATACTGGGATTGCAGTCAATCAACATAAGGTAGTGTTGTCCACTGTAATGGCTAATATCCATTCCCAAGTAGATCCAGATTCCAGTCACACTTAAGTTACTTGAGGCTGGTATTCTTTACACTTTCTGACCACTGCCCTAATGGATGCTTTGTTTTATAGTTATGTAAATTTTTTTTGTTACCTCTCTTTTTTGTTATTTATGTTGTTTTAATGTGTAGGTTTTTATCACTATTATTGAAAAAGAGTATTTCTCTAAATTGTAAGTCATATAGACTTAACATATCATACCAAAATCAGTATACTGTATATGCAATAGGATTTGTTTAAACAAATCATGGAAACAAAGGATGATGATCAAGCAACTGCAAAAGAATGTTTGTCTCGTATATATATATATATATATATATATATATATATATATACATAAAATATTTTGCTAAAACTATACAGCAACATTCCTCAATGTACTGTTTTCTCTTTTGAGTTCTTGGTTAACCAAAGGTAAACAAAAAAAACCTTTTTGTCAAATATCCAGAGAATTTGCAGTTGTCCATTTCCAGTAGTATTACAACTTAAATAGTCAGTCAGAATCTTTTTGTCAGTGTTCTCTTCTAGAAATTACTGACTTCATTACTCAGAAGATTTTACTTTTCACAAGCAGAAATAATAATCAAAAAATGATACCATCATTGCCAGTTAGATCTATTATTATATAAAAGCAAATATATCGGTTCATTTCTAAGATACTAACTTCAGACAAGAACAGCATCAGAATTAATTCAAGTATAAAAATCTGAAAGTTTTAAAACCTAAAGTTTTAATTAAGAATTTTGTCTAGATGCTTGTAACACTGGCTTTTGGTTGTTACTCTGTTTTGCTTTTGGAAACACGGTATAAAGCATTGAGCAAAACTTAGAACAAGTTAGTCTTTATTAAATGTTAGTATACACACACACACACACACACACACACACACACACACACACACACACACACACTTCTTGATAACCAAAAGAAAACTTGTTATCTTCCAAAATTTTAAAACACAGCAGTTTTATTTTCTTATCCACAAGAAACATGAAAAGTGAATGAAAGAGAGAGGAAAGAAAGATGAGTATTACCGTCATTCAGTGGTGGAAAATATTAAAATGGAGGAAGTAGGTAACTGCAATACAGAAAATGAAGAGTTAAAATTGAATAAATCTAGCAGGTTTATTCTTATCTGTATATTGGGTTAAGCCATTCTAAGCAGCATGGCAGGTTTATCTGCTAACACTAGAAAGGTATTTGTTGCCTCTGCCTGTAGTTCATCTCTGCTGACTCTCAAAGTATCAAAGAGATGAAAGTATGGGATTACTCACTTCTGTGTCATGTACAATGCAAAAGTGAATTTTAATTTGTCACACATATGCACACACACGATATATTTATGCAGCAAAAGTTCATCCAAACAAATAATTAAACAGCCTGACAAGGTCTGGCTGTTTAATTATTTTATTGTATTTTTGCAACTTTTAAATGAGGTGTTGAGTATTGTGCTTGAAAGTGTGGATAAACTGTGTGAAGTTCATGTTGTGTTATTGTTTTGTTGAAGTACTTTTGGCTGACTCAGTCATTTTCAAGAACTAATGTGGTGTTTGTGTGGTAAGCAGAGTTCCTTTATTTACATCCTGGTATTCTTTGGAAAACTGGAAGTTTGAAATAGTCTAATGTGATGTTATGTGTAACCGTTATTGAGAAGTAGACTGCATCAAAAAGAATTTAAGTTTTTTATTATATATATGTCATATGCACTTCAAGATACCATCTCCTGTGATGAATAATATTTAATGTGGGCTGTTTATTTTGTATCAAAATAGCTTCTAGGGTTTTGTGCTTTATTGTAGTAGTGGTTGGTTAGTACTGCCACTAATTAGCATATGTGTATGAGTAGATGTTATGTATAGTTTCACAACATAAGGTAGAAGCAATGATACTTGGACTGTAGAACCAATACTGACTGCATACAACTGTAATCCCTACTTGGAATAGCCTAACACTTACCTTGTTGCATTAAGTGCTGTAGAGCAAAATACTCCACAGCACCTTATCGGTTGTTTTTAATCAAACTAAATATAACATATTCCTTCATTTCATATATATATATATATATATATATATATATATATATATAACATTCACACTGCCTATAAAAATAGATTCTAGTATGTTATTAAATTTGAGAAAATATCAGATGAGAAAGACTTTTTTTTTTTTTTTTTTTTTTAATTGAGCAGAGTACCTGAATGTACTTTTTTTCCTTTTCTACTTGTTACTAAAGTTATTTAACTTTTCCTGTCATTGATAATGTTTGTTTTATGGGTTTATTCACTATATTTTTTTAATGTATTTTCTCTGTTGATATAAAATATTTTATAGCCGTAATCTTGCTATTTTAATAATAATAATATAGAACTTTAGTTAATCTTGTATTTCTATCAGATATTTTAAAATCTTTCTCACTACTGGCATGGAATAAAAACTAAGAATAATATTTGGACTTTTTTTTTTTTTTGTCAGAAGATATTTAAGATCCTGTTTTACACTTTACCTGTATTTGCTTTATACTTATTAATATATCGGGTTGGTGTATAATTATCAGGCGTTTTTGTAGGAGAGTTATTGGTTAATAAAAATTGCTGTTTTGTTTACATTTTTTTGATAAAAATATTATTTTATTTTCAGTTTATAAAAATACATGTCGATAATCATACACTCTGGAATAATCATTTAAAAATATTATTGTTGAATTGTTTCTTTTTTCATAATAAATATTGTTTAAAAACGCCTGGTAATTATGCACTAACCCAATAGAAAATTTTTGCTATTTTTTTAATGCGTGTCTGATATGATGTTTCATTGTCGTTCAATGATTCCTTCACATGTTTTTCGTAGTTGCTTTTCCCCCTCATTGATCAGTTATCATTGTATGTCATATCATGCAGCTAAGGTGCACTGGTTGAAAAAGTAAAAATATCAAACTACTTTAATAAAAAGTACCAGATGGCATTGCTTCAAACAACATTCAATTTTCTTTTTTGTTTTCATTGATCTGTTATGTTTATTTATAATGTTTCTCTAATCAGTATTTCATAACCACCATTCTTGTCAAGCATTTTTCCTTCATCATGAATCTTTATTTATGTAAATATAACTTGTTCTTAAAAACCATGCTTTTCATTTGATTTTTATAACCACGACCCCAATTTATTTTCAATTCATGTTGAATTGACAGGCGTAATTGTTCTATTATGTATTGCTAAAAAGCCGTTATTTTTAGTTGGTTTTTCTGATAGGCTTGCCAATTCATAAAGTCAGTAAAGGAAAAACTAATTTCCCCAATCTGAAATAAAGGTAAACTCTAAAATCTAAAACATCAACAACAAAATTAACATTTAGACAAGACTTTTTTGTTATTTGTTAACTTTGTACTAGAATTGCTAATAGAAAATAATATGAAAGTAAAATCTTTCTCAATATTTTGGAAGAATGTTTTGGCCAGAAGGTAATGTTACTGAAATCTTATTAAAAAAAAAAGAAAATGAAAGGTACTTTCCTGAAAATAAAATTGTTATTTAAAAAGAAAACAAAACAAATTTTAACAATCAGTATGTCATGAATGTCATGAATATATCATTACTTTTCTGAATAGTAAGAATGCATAATATTACACTATAAGTAATATTATATTTTTGCAGTAATATTTACTTGAATTGTAAAACCATGTTATTGGTGTGCACACATACCAAATTCTGGAAAATTTGGATCATAAGTATTAAGTAATATTGAAAATATATAACTAAAAATTGTAATTGCTTCACAATAAAAAATATCATCTAATTGAAAAGATTGTCATTTGTTCAGAAAGTGAGTAATGTTAGGATTTTTTTTTTTCAAATGATGACCTGCATATACAATTTTATTCAGATGAACTATAAAACAAACTGGTCTATAGAAATAGAAGCTGGATTTTTTTTTAACATTTCAATGAGATAATTCAGTAGAAAAAAAAGTAAAAATTCTTAAAATACTTGATGAAATGTGAAATATTTGAAAACTATAAAACCAAAAATAATTTTAAAAATTATCCTGCCTGATCTATCTGATTATTCTTACATTTATTTGTAACTTTAAACATTTGTAGTAACTAAGCTGATGCAAAATCAATTCACTTCTATAAGAAGAATATATGAGACAATTTCTGTCTACTAATCTTTGCAAGTTGTCATGTTTTGGGCCAAAATAGTAATGGATCTATAAAGCAAATTTATTTCTTTTTCTTTACTAGTAAATGACTAAGCTGGATACCATTTTTGACCCAGATGTAAAGTTAAATATAAACAATTTGATGAACACATTTATTCCATAAGTTCTTTGTCATTGACCACTTCCAAAAAACTGATAAAATGACCAAACATCAGAATTTTTTAAAATCACTTCTTGGTTGAGACGAGAATTTTTCAGTATCACCCAAGTAGAATAAATAAATTTTGCTTTAGTTTCATTTTATATTTGAAATCTTGTCAAGGACTGATTTTATACTTAAATGATTTAATTAACCTGTTATTTCTTTTTACTTTCTGTTTATGTAAATTTACTAACCAAGTCTGTTTTCAGTGACTCATTATCATATAACGAATTTGTTAGATTTTCATGTGGCTATAGCATAAATTCTAATAAAGTAAACATTTTTATTGTATTAATATATTAATAGGGAATCCACAATGAGAAAATGATTATCTTATAAATTAATTAAATAACTTTAAATAATTTAGTATATAACAAAATATTATTTGGTTTACTCTTGACAAGGTGTAGCCAAAGATAGGCTTTTTGGCATTTTTCATATTAATCACTTATAAAGAAATAAATTAATATTTAATAGTAAAATTAGATTTTATGCTATCATGCATTTTGCTTGTGTCAATTGTAAAATTTTATTTAATCAAAGAAAATATTTTTTAAAATAAGTGTTTAAATAAAACCACTGATTTTGAAATGAAATTGAATTTTCTTCTCTGAGCCATGTCCCTTCAGGACATTGACAATCATGGTTCTCCACAATTTCCTATCCTTCGTAGCTTTTAATAAATTTTGTCTTTTTATTATCTCTCCTAAATTTTGTTCTACCATCCATTTACTCAAGCTCACTAGGTAGGTTATGTATTGTTTTCCTCTGTCATTCTTGCCTTCAATATATCCTGTGAGTATCAAATTTTCTAAGACCTCTTTCCTCATTATGTGCCCTAGAAATTTTGACTATCTCTTCCTGACATTAAGTCTAAGTGTCCTTTTTGTTTCCATTTTCTTTAAAACTTCTTCGTTGTTCACATGTTTGGTCCATGGTATCTTCAGTATCCTTTTGTATAACTACATTTCTGTTGCTTCAAGTCTCTTCTTCATCTGTGCAGTGAATGTCCAGCATTCACCGCCTTATAGGAGGACTGAATCCTAAAAAATTTAATTTTTTTTTTTTATACTATTCATTGACTTTATAGTTAGCATTGATTAATTTTTGTTTCAGTTGGAAGGAGCATCCAGTGGAAAGCATACAGTGGCTCCACTGGTGCCTACAATACAGCAGGAAAATGGCAGCAGTACAACAACAACAGCAACAACAACCACAACAACAACATCAACAACATCCAACACCCCTACCATCACAACCACCACAGCCACAACTACTACGACGACATGCTCAGGAGGTATTGGCTCAGCTGATACCTTTGTGGACGAAAGTGATGGAGCACACCCCCCTGATCCAACACGCACCAAGGCGGCAATAAAGCAACTACAAGATAAGATCCATAAAATTATGGGTCAGATCAAAAGCGAACAGAACTCGAAAGAAGGTAAATTATTCCATTTAAAATAGAATAGTGGAATTCAATTATGAATATCCAACCACTTATTCAGATTTCAAATGGAATTATTCTTAGTTTATATCCATGTGTATGGATGTATATGAACATTTCTCTCTCTCTCTCTCTCTCTCTCTTTTTTGTTGGGTTGAGTTTATATTGGGAAAGAAAGTAAGAAAGGAAAAAAAAAAGGTTAGTTTTGGTTTACTGTGGGAGACATTTGTATGTATGAATGTTACTGCTTGATTTTTTTTGTTTATTTTTTTTATTTTTATTTTTTTATTTTTGAAAGTGGTTAGAAATATTTATCTCTTTAGTACTATATGTTTGCAATAATTACATTCTTATGATCTTGAGATATTTTCTCTCTGGTCAGGATTGATCTACTGCTGATCCGGTGTGTATAGAAAATAATACGGCTAGAAGTAGTGATATCTTTGTTTCAACTCTATACTGAGATTTTGTTTCCTCTAAAAACATTAACAAAATATTTACTTTACTTATTGTCAACTTACTCATATTAGTTTCTGTTGGTTAGGTATAGGTTATTTTTTTTTCTTGGTGAGTGATAATGACCTAATCCATATTGGCACTGAGAATGGAATTGGAAACTCCGCTTGTGTCTTGAACATTGATACATGGCAATTGGTAATAAATTCACTTGATAGCTGAATACTTTTTTCAGTCATTTTGCAGAACATTGATGTGATAGAAACTTAATAAGAAAAGATTCCAGTAAGAATATGATCAAAAGATCTATAAAAATGAAATATTTTTTGTTTATATTTCAACAGGAGTATTTTTCTCAGATAGGAAACAGATGTAGCCAGAGTTTATTCATATTGTAAACTTTATTTCTAAGGTTTTTCTGTGGCAATTGTTTATCGTTGTAGTATATGCTCATAATCAGTGGCAATAGTTTAATAAAACTAATAGTAATATTAGCTGTTCCCTTATAAGGAAACATTCATTGACCAAGCACCTTGTACTATTTTTAGTTGATAATTTATAAAATCTTTCTCTAAAAACAATTTTTTAGGAAAATGGGTTTCTCAAGTTCAGTTACTGTTATCGCTAATTCCAGTACTGATGGGGACTTTTTTCCTAACCTTTTATTTGAAGTTGTGTGGAATGTCAACATCTTGATTATGTCATTATTTTCAAATAATATGTGCTATCCATTTTCGCTGTTGCTACTGTTGAAAGTCCTTAAATGATGCAGTTTCTGTTATTTGGTAGTTCTTTGTGATTCTGTAGCACCAGTTCAAAGTTCAAATAAGTGTGGTTTTCACCAAGACCCATTTTTAATCATTAATCGGAAAAAGCAATTGTATAGAACGGACAGTTAAGATATTTCTGAATGAATTTGGCACAATGCATGGCATCTTTATAAGTCTTAATCTTGTAAGACTATTTAGAACATTTTGGCTCTTTTTCAGATTAATGTTTTAGCTTTGTAGCAATTTGTAGTGTTGGCCAAAACTACCTCTAGCAAAGCCTATTCTGTGTTCAATTTCCTTTTCTCCTTTACTAAATTTGTTATAACTGATCCATAGACCAAGGTATTTCAAGTGTTTTGTATTTACTAAAAGCACATTCTGAATTTTTATCATGGTTTCAGGAATTAATTAAAGCTTTCAAAATCCTATTTCATAAAATTAATAAATGGTTAAATTAGTGTATTTAATTTGACCTTTAAGCACGTCAATTGATTTAAGAATTTGTTAGTGATCATGTTAAACATTATAAAGAATAACATTTGGATCTTGGCAGTTCAGTTTTTTTTTTTTTTTTATTCGGTTTCAACTTTATACAACTGTTTCACCTTTTATGATCGTACTATAAATAATTATAATGGTAAGTAATTTAAAATTTAACTTTTTTTTATATTTGATTTCAAAATAGTAAAAAATTTAGTATTCTTGCTATTTAACTCACAATTTGTGACTCAAGTGTTTTCATGGTCACTGTTTGTTTATTTTTTTAATTTTTTTTTTTTTTTTTAGTGAACCATATTTGTCTGGGAACAGCATAATTCAGCTTTATTGATATATAACTGGCTAAGTTACTCTCTTGTTTCATGCAATTTAACTAATCGTATATAAAGTCTCTCGTTTTAATTTTTATTTGTTTATGATATTTCTTCAGCTATTTTTTCACTTCTTTATAAAAAAAACAAAATTAAAGATACAAAACTGGGGCCAACACAAAGGAACACTTACAATTCTCTTTGCATCATCAATCACAAACTAAAATTACATTCTAAAACATTTTTCTGTTAAATTCTTTTACTTTGTATAGTCCTAATTTCTACAGACATTTTATTTACTCAAAATTTAAGAAAAATTACTTACATTGATTTATATTTTTCTTTATTTTTAAATCAATGTTGTAATGACTTGACTAGAGTTAATTGAGCAAAAGAACATGACCACACATTATTGAAGGACAATTCTTTTATTTGTATCTGTGTCACTTGAATATTGTGAATTTTATATTGAATGATCAACTAAGTGCTGATGATCCTTTCTTATTTCATTTTTCATAATGAAATAAAACCCCATGTACTGGATACCAGGTTTTCAAAACATTTTAACTATAAATACCATCTTCTATGACTAAGCAAGAAATAAATCATTTTATCTATATCCTGTTCAACTTTATTCTCTATTGTATATTCACCCACACAGGTGTTTGTCACAATCACTGATCTGTTAGCACAGCACTTAACTGGTAAAACTCTTAAATTAGCAGATCAAAAATATGACAGCTGGCCAGGTGAAATATTTTTGAAGCATCAAAAAAGTACGAAGTAAAATAAAATGGGTAGGTCTGTATACATTTGTAAAATTATCAATACATTCTTGTACACAGATGTTCAGCAGTATGGAGGTGGGGTCTGGTGGCTATAATGAACAAAAAAAAAAAAAAAAAAAAAAGCAAATCTTTCTGACAGTTTGAGAGCATCCTCACATTCAATCTATTCTTCTTAATAGTTTATCTTTCCCACTTGTAGTAATCTGCTTTTTGTTTATATATATATACATATATATATATATATATATAGTGAACAATCGTCAGGTCATGATTGCATCAAGCATGAAACAGCCTGTCGCCTCTAAGTGTTGACTTAAATGTTCACTTTTATAGTTGCACACGCTTTCCTGATATTGAGTACTTTATCCCATAGCACACCTTAAGAGTATATTTCTTTATATATATATATATATATATATATATATACACACACTTTATCCCCATCATTGAGCATTATTTTCCCATAAATATAGCAAATTTTAAACATATAATTTGCTATATTTATGAAGGAAGAGTGCTTGATAGATCACTTGTTGATATAGACAATGTGGTCATAAAAATCAACTCTGCATGGTGACTGTCAGTTTTATACCTCACACAATCTTCAATCTTAAATGAGCTTTAAATGAGCAACTAGACAATTATGAGAAGTAGAGGAAGTAGGAATATGGCTCTTTCCAGTTCTCCAGGGTTAATGTTTTTGGTTAATTATGGTCCTGCCTTTTGGTTTGCTTATTTTACTTATATATGATAAATATATAAGACATTTGGAAAAAATTTTTTATTTTGGCATGTTTTGCTAGTGCCTGCGTGTATGCATGCTGTATTTAGGCCCTATTCAGTATGAAAATTGCTTTGGGCCTCTCAAAGTTTTTTTTTTTCTAGGATCTGTTAATTAAACTTATGAAAAATTTGATAATCTTTTATGTACCATGTCCTTTCAGGTTATGAGCGATCATAAGTTCTTGTCTTTTGTCACTCTATATAACTTTTAACCATTTATCCATCGTTCTTTGTCTCTGTCCTACCATCCATCCATCCATCCATGCAAACTCATTAAATAGGTGACTTGCTGCCCAGCCTCATTCTCTTTCCTTCAGTATGTTCTGTGAGTTAAAATTTTCTTGGCCCTTTTTCATCATTGTGTGTCCCAGAAATCATATCTTTCTAATTGTAAGTATCAGTTTTTCTTCTTGTTCATTGCTCACATATTCTGTCCATGGTAATGTCTGTACCGTATTCTATATTTTGTAGAACCACATCTCTTTTGTCTCAAGTCACTTCATCTTTTAGCAATATAGGAAATTAGATATTGCAAAGCAGTTCAGCACTCCTTTCTTTGCTTTTAATAAAATGTGATTATCTTTTGGCAGGCATCTTTTCCTACTCCAATGTGCCTTTGGATTTCAGTTTCCATCATCAGTTATAGCAATTCCCAGATAGTTAAATATCTATATTTGCTTGTTTTTGATGTTCTCAATATATAGCTCAAACCTTGTGTTGTCTCTTTTACTGACAACCATGCATTCTTACAGTCAATAGTCCTTTCTTCTTACTTTCCTTTATTATTTTGTCTAAGACTTCTTTCAGTTTTCCTACTAAGTCTGCTATCAACACAGTGTCATCCCAATATCTAATATTGTCTTCTGATAATAAATCCTGGTTTGTCTTCTAGTTACCATAGGATAGTGACATTGTTAAATGAATCCAGTGAAAAGACATAGCCTTGTCTAACTCCACTTTCTATTTTTGTCTATTCACTGAACTTGTTCTCTATCTGCATGAAGGCTATTTGTTCCCAGTAAAGGTTATTATTCAAATTTGATAATCATGTGATGAAAATATCTTCCAGATCCAGAGAGAGCTATCACATTTCCTTCATTTTTATCAGTTTTTTTTTTTAATCCTTTCACCTCAAGAAGGTGGGAATTTAAATTTTTGAAGATTGTGGTTTTCAGGGAAGCAAGTAAACAGAAGGGAGTTCCACTGCTAGGAAGTGTGAGAAAAGAAACTGTTGGAGTAGAATTGGCAGTTACATTTAACTATTTCAACAGTAAAAGGGTGGGACCTAGGTGCTAATCTAGTAGCACACTTAAATTCATGTAATTGGGAGCACCAGGAAAAAAAAAAAAGCTCATCAGAGCAGTTGCCATGAAAATATTTGTAGAAAAGAGAGAGAGAAGCCACATCACGTTTGTGAGAAAGTGACTGAAGTTGAGATGCCAAGTCAGGATCAATTATATTGCAGATCCTTCTTTGGATTTTGTCATGTGCCTTGAGATGATTAGCAGGAGCACCAGACCAGATATGGCAACAGTATTCAATGTATGGACTGATGATAGATTTGTAAATGTGCAAGATGGACTCTGACAAGAAAAACCTTCTGGCACAACACAATGAACCAACTTTCCCTGCAGTAGATAGTTATAGTTGTTCTACTTCAAGTCAGTTGAAAACATGAGACCAAGTAGATGCAGTGGGACACTCTCTGGGAGTCAAGCATCAGCCATGCTTATGGTGGCCAGGGAAGTTTCTCTATGGGGGTTAAATGAGAGGAGTTTAGTTTTAGCAGCATTAACATTTACAAGCCATTTCCTGCCCCAGTTTACCATTGATTGGAGGTTCTTTTTCAAAAGCAGTGACCAGGTTAACTTTGTCAACTCTGATAGATTTGCTATTGAGACAAGAGTAAATGATAGTGTCATCTGCATAAATGCCTACTTGGGAACTGATGACATCAGGAAGATCATTAATGAACATCAGAAACAGTGTAGGACACAGGATAGAGCCTTGGGTGTCATCTGTGTCCGTGTGAAAGGATCTGGAAGCAAGCCTGTTCAGAATGACCTTCATTTCAATATTTGATAAGAATGATTGGATTGAATCAAACAATTGTTCTGTAATACCATAACCCTGAAGCTTATTACTAGCATGCCAAACCCAGTCAAACACCTTTGAGTTATCTAAAGCCACAACTCTAGCTTCACTATTATTATCAAGAGCTTGATTTACATATTCAGTGATGGCCATAAGCACATCAACGGTAGACTGGGCAAAACAGAAGCCATATTGTTTGTCAGAGAGTAGGTCATGAGAGGTAAGATGCTTAATCACTTCAGCATTGATTAAAGCCTCAAATACTTTGCTGAAAAGTGGTAGGAAATTAATAGAGTGATAGTTAGAAGGTTCTCTAGAGTTCTTAAAAACAGAAACTATAGAGGAGAACTACCAACAAACTAGGAAGCAGTGAGGCAATAGCTGTAGAGTTTGGAGAGAATAGGAGCCAGCCGAAGAACACATTTTTTCAAGACAACAGCTGGGATCCTGTCACCTCCACTTATGGGAGTCTAATATAGAAATGATGTCTGAGACCAGTGATGGGGTTATGCATATATCATTCAGTAGAGCCTCAGTTCTAGTGGGGAAATCGGGTATGGGTACTTCAAATGAGTCAAGTATTGAGTTAGAAAAGAATTTCCAAGCAAAGCATTCAACCTTATCTGCTGTTGATGTCAGGACTTCGAATTTGAATATAGGAGGGATTGAGGATTTGCTGTTATTCAGCAAGCTCTTGCAAATCCACTAATAATCTCTAGAATTGAACTTGTGAGATGCTATAGGTTGCCTGTTGTAATTAGATGTGTTGCTCTGGTACAGCCAGAAGAAATGATTCCTGTAGGCTATAGCGGTCAGGCATGTAGGTGAAAACCAAGGAGGTGAACGTAGTTTAGCTTGGAATGAAAGCGATGATGCTGACTTTCACCCAGGAGGAAACCTTAGAGGCACATTTTTGAACAGGATGATTAAAAACTTCATTCCAAAGGACATCACGAAGGAAATCACAGGAAGAGTCCCAATCTGTTCATTGATAACAGAGAGATATTCTTTTTGTAGGAGGTTCTTGGCTGCTGGATGAGTGAAAAGAGATGTTTACAGGCACTACGGCATGATCAGAGTTGCCAAGAGGTCAGTGCTGCATACTAAAACAAGAGTCAGGGATAGAGGTAAAAAAGAGATTGAGAAGAGAAGTTTGTCCATCAGGGTTACTGGGGAAACACGTGGGGAAGTTCAACTACTTGCATGAGAGATTGAGTAGTTAAGGGTTTGGATACCATAAAGTCAGTGACATTGTATTAAAGCTGTGTCATATGGTGAGCATTAAAGTCATTGAACACAAATATATTTGCAAACTGGTATAGGGAGATGGTTTTGTCTATATTATTGGAAATACTATCTCGCATGCAACAGTCTCAAGAGGAAGGAACAGTAGAGAAAGAAGAGACTGCTGACTTAGTTAAGAAGAGAGAGATAGGGATGCATCTAAAAATGGTCTGGAGATTCAAAAGAGAGTTCCCTAGCCAGGAAGAGATGTTAACGGACATAAACACCCAAGCCATGCATGGGGACATTAGAGTCCTTTCTAAGGAGAGGAAGGTGGCCAAGAATCAAGAAATCGGAAGCAGGGATTGAAGAGTTAAGATCAGTTTTGCAGATAGCTAAAATGTCCACAGACTTTTTGAAGAGGAACAATTCCACGGTGCAGAAGTTGGTATGAATACCATGAATGTTGGAGAAAGAAAGGTTAAGGAGTTTAGGTGTTTTTTGTTGAGCTGGTTTAGGTTTATATCTTTGGTTGTTTATAGTCATGATGTATTATTTTGGTAAGGAAAGGCCTAGGGTAATAGTAGCTGTTGGCTGTCTAATGTAACATGTGCAGGAAGGGAACTGGCACAGACTGAAACATAGCCTGTCCTCAGCTTTGCCCACTGGAGTTGTTTGCAGAGACACCCTTTCCATGCACAACATGGCACTACAAGAACCAACTGTTAATCAGAGCAGCTTTTTTTTTAAGAAGTTACGCAAGTGTTCAGGCTTCTAACTGCCAGTCGGGAAGAGCAACCAGAAAACTGTCAACCCGGTATCCTCAGTATGAAGAGACATTGACACCATCCACATATATCACAAGAAATTCATGACAGCACCACTATTAAGGCCTTTGGTAATCTTTTAGTTTGTAAAAACTGCAATTTTCAAACTGAGAAAAAGCTATAGTCACAAAAAAGCTAATTTCTCATCTAAAAAGCTGTCTTGTAGTTTACAATAACAAAATGGTGGTGCAAGGCATCATGACAATACCAGTACAGAAAATGTCATTCATAAATAGACGTTACTGATGAGCACTCAGTATTAATATTCTTGGAAGAGGTTTAAAACTCCTACACCAAAAACATGTGAATATTTGTCTTTTTCAAAATGTTCGGATATACTTAGGATGGTTCTTTTCAAATTCTGATTGAAGATATTTATTTGCTGTCAACTGATATTTCCACTTAAGATTTGTAAGTCCTTATTATCAAATGATATTTATGTTCCTATGACTTCTGATTTAAAAAAAAAAAAAAAAAAAATGCCATTATTACATGGATAGCTTCAAGTAGCTTCATGTGCAAAAATTTTTGTCATGGTGAATATTCGTGATATATTGACAAAAAAAAAAAAAAAGCAGTAATCCATAAACCTATTAACCTTCACTGCCTGCAGCAAAAATATTTCAGCTTATCTTATTCTTGACTTTCTATTCTGTCCTATTTTTTTTTTTTTTTTTAATACAAAATAAAAGCACAATCAAGGATGACAGGAGTAAAATTGTGTCACTCAACAGGCAACCTTAAATTATTATTTAATTGATGCTTCCCTGAACATGGTAGATATACTTTTTATTTACTTTAAATTTAGTATCAGTCTGCTGTTTGTTGTAATTGTGTTATTGGTTGTAACATTAATGTTTAATTATTTAATATAATCTCTTGTGCTAGCTGGATGATTTTCTGTTATAGTACCAAATGCTATAATTTATTCATGCTCTTTCCTTCAGTTAAATACATCATGGCTAGTGATCCTTCAGTTATGTTATCCTCACAAAAACAAGGTCACTGTGATTGGTCATTAATTATGAAACCACTGTCATAATTTGATCTGAAATTGATCATAATTATTTTTAGTGTGTTGTCAGTCTGACTTTACTTTCACCATACATTTGCATCTGTTTCTCTAGTTTTAATATAGGAAATTTTTAATTTTATATCAAAGTCTGAGTATTCAGAAAATTTTATTGAATTTATTTATAATTTTTGTTTTTTCAGTGAGCTAACTTTTTTATCCAAATTTTATTTACTTTTTTCCACTTTGAAAATGTTTTATTTACATGAGCATTCTACTATCATCATCATCATGATCACTCAGTTTACATGTAAGAGATAGAAATATTGATTGTCAAGAAATTTTATCTGTAAATCATTATAACCCCTTTTAACCATGATATTAACTTGCCATATTTTGGACCAACTTGATAATTCCATTTTGAATTGTTCATTTTACAAATATGCACTCACTGAAAAGTTGCCAAAGAATCTTTTTATTTTTTAACTTTATATTTTATACATATTTTTATAAATCGTCATTAAGCTAATCTCTTAAAATGAAAAACAGAGTTTTTAGTTTTCCTGACACTTCAAATACTCCTCTGGAAGTTTCCTTCTCTTATTCTGAAATTTTTAAATATTTTAGCATTTTTTGTTTTCATACCATTTGTGCACACCATGTTGTATTGTTAAGAATAACCTTTAGTATTATTATTATTATTATTAATCTTTTGGAGATTATTTTGTCAAATCGACAAAGCAATAAATGATAGAGTAGAAGAGATAAGGCAAATATATGCAAGAGAAAGAGAGAAAAAGCAAAGCTGTTTAAGTCAGTTACAGTTACGTGACTTTTTAAATAGACCTGTCATTGGTGGTGATACTTCAGGTTTCATCTCTTGTTTCATGAAATAATAATCCACTTTTCCTTTTCACTTTCAGCAAATGTCAATGAATATCTGCGATTAGCATCAGGTGCAGACAAACAGCAAATTTTACGGATAAAAACAGTTTTTGAGAAGAAAAATCAGAAATCCACCCACTCTATTGCACAACTCCAGAGGAAGCTTGAAAACTACCAGAGAAAATTAAATGATGTTGAAACATATGGGGTTTCCAGTCATAAACAAGCCAAAGAGGTTCTACGAGATATGGGACAAGGTTTAAAGTGAGTAAATTATTAAATACTCAAATTAAGTATACCTGTTCTGTATGAATATACATTGTAAATGTTTGTAACCATAAAATTTTAATGCCAATTTAATTCTAAATATTTTTGCAATGAAGCAGATATGTTTTTTTCATTTTTTTTAACACAATTTGCATAAAATCAGAAAAATATTTATATTGTGACTATCAGACACAAAACTTGGTTGAATTAAAATTGCACAAATACAAATTTTACCAAAGTCACTGTTAATTTTTGTTACTCAAAAACCATTGTGTCAGTTTATTCATTGCTGATTAACTAACATCAATATCTATGAAAAATAATTTCAAGACAGAATGGTATCAGAATAAATAGGAGGAAATTCTGAATGTTTATATTGCTAATATTAACACTAGGAGAAGAGGAGGCATGTAAGGCTTAAGAGATGTGCATAAAGGCATCTCTATTGAGCTTCCTGAAGACACCTGCAGGCAGCTCAATCTGATGTATACAGATTGTGGTAGTGTTTTTATCAATGGCTGGTCTAAGGAGGCACTTGAGAGTGCAGTAACAGAGGGTGGCAATTGACCATAAAGTAGTAGGTGACCAGCAACTGAAATGTGATATCTATGGTAAGACATGAGGGTCCAGAAGCAGTTTCATGTGATAATGTAACACCTGCTGTTGCACATCATAAGTGTGCCAGAGTATGTAGGTTTATGTAGGTCCATTGCTGGTCTAAAGGGCCACATTCATTCAGGATGTGTGTGTGTGTATATATATATATATATATATATATATATATATATTATTTTTTTAAAATTGAATGACAACAAAAATATTAGGCATTTGATTCTTCAGAAGGAATTCTGAAGACACATTTCTTTTCTATTTTGTCATTCAATTTTCCACTTTTACATTAAATAAAATTTATATATATCCCATTTTTCACACTTGTATTTTTTGTATGGGCTAAATGATATTGTTTTCTTTTTACAGAGATGTTGGAGCAAATATTATGGATGGTTTGAGCGGTTTCTCTGGGTAAGTTGTTATTTTATTATTACTAAATTATTTTTCATATTCCTAATCAAAAATATTATTCTGAAATATATTTCTTCTTAGCTCATTTGGAAACCATTTCCTTTTATTTCTTATTTCTTCCAAAGTATTATTTTTTGTCTTGAACTAAGACTTCTCTGTCATCTTATTTTCTATACCAAAGCAATGACCATCCATCCAACAAGTGCAACTACAGGTACCATTCCCACTTAAATCCACAAAACTTCCCATTAGAATACCAATTTTGCCTTTGAAAGATATTTCTTTGCAGCAAACTAAACTTTGTCTTTACACTTTTTAAAGTATCTCTTAGTATAGACTAAATGGGGGTTGTTATTTTCAATGATGTGCACACCAATAGTTTCTGCCCTCATCTGCTTTTTTTCCACTTTCTGTTAATCTAATAGTGATATTATTCTTCATTCAAAAGTTTTTAAATTTTTATGCAGGCACATATATATTCATATTGTTACCTTTTTAAAAGTGTTTGACATGTTTTTATTATTTAAAGTATTCAAATTCATTTTTCATAGGAACTATTTTTATTTCCTATATTGTATGTAATAATTGTAAGATCTTGTTTAGTTTTGAAAGTTTGTGTTTACTTGAACAAAGAAAGTTTGAATGTTTCCACTTCAAATTTACAAATTCATGCCATAAGATAAACGTATTTATTCAGATCGCACATTTTTGTGTTACAATGGTGGTTTTAGTTTGCATATCCTAATTTATTATCTAATACTTTAAATTCTTTTATATATATATATATATATATATATATATTTATATATTTTTAGATGATTTGGATCGTGATTACGATTCCAATGTTATAAATTATAACCATGGAATATTAGTGTTGGAGCCTTTTATATTATATTCTTACTCTGTCCTGGACATTGAGTTCTATCTGGATTCTATCCTCTTGGGAATTTATATATATATATATATATATATATAATTTTTCTGTTGAAATATGGAGAGAAAAAAATGCTATAACATTGTTATCTCTGAAGTTACAACATATACTTAAAGCACACTTTTTGGATTTTGTTAAATTAATAAAGAAATAATTATTGAAATTATTCTGTTAAGGTGCAAATAAATTTTAAGTTTTCTTTTTAATATAATGATTCTGTATGTTTAGAAGATGTCATCTAGGTAAGATCATGTCCAATAAATGATTAAAATCTTCCTTATTCAGTGCATTTTGTAACAATCAGTATCTGTTCAAAGATTAACAGCTGCATCCTTTTTTGTTATAGTGTGGACATAGGAAACTATTTTTGAGTGTTGCTATTAAGTTTAGAATTTGGATTGTTTCAAAATTCATAATTATATTTGCTTGTTTTGTCCAATGAGAAAAATAAAAACCTAATTTTTCTGCTTGAAAGATTTTATGTTTTCAAAATCATCCCAATAAAAGTTCTTTCACTGTTGATGATTTTAATTCTTTTGTTAATTCCATTACGGATATATTTTTTTTTATTTTTCATTTATTTGCTTTTAAAAACAAGTTTTTTAAAGACTGTTTTTCAATCAGAATTTATCTTAATCTTACAATGTGCTGTTTTAATCCTCTGTATTTTCTGTTTTAGGATTACGTTAACTTAATCCCAATATTTTACTAATTCTTATTAATTCTGGATGCCCATATTTATGTCTTTTATTTTCAGTATAATAATTATTAGTGATTTACTTGAATTTACCTAAAAATATTACTAATGAAGGTTCTTAAAAAGGTTTTATGAAAATAGTGAATTAAGTAAAAATTTGATTCATCTTGAAAAAATGTCGTTTCTCTGATTTGTTAGTTTTCGTCTGGAATAATCATTGAAACTGTTGAGAAACTTTTCTCAGTTCATGTCTGTAATCAGTCTTAAATTTTGAAATATTTATAATTCATAAATATCTGCTCTCATATAAGCAATTTTAGTACAATTACAGACAGGTTGATGCATTTTGTGCAGGATAAAATTATGGGTTATTTTTATTAAAACTAAATACCATCTTGTGTAAATTTCTTTTTTCCCCCCCTAATGTTTACAAAGATTTGTCACATAATTTGTCACATATAATATATAGACAAGGAAACTTGTACAGCATTTTAAAGTTGGCTATTAGATTGTTTTTTTGTTTTTTTGATAATATTTCCACATAACTGTCACTATTATTTTATACAGTGAATGCATTTATGATTGATATTACATATCCAATACCTACATATTATCAATCATTTTAATCATACATCATTTATGCTTAAAGGGTTAATTAGAAAATTGTGTCAGAAAAATATTTAAGATGAGTAGTAATTTTCTGATTTAGACAATGATCCATCTATTGAATTTGAACAAGTTTTGTGATTTTTTTTTACTGACCAATGAGAATCATAATTGTATTTTTGATGTAAAATATATTTTATAACTTAAAACTGATGCACAAGAACAATTAATATTTATGAATTTGAGAAAAACTTTGATATGCATACAGTATTTTATTGGATGAAACAAGATAAATTTTTTTCATTAAAATTGGAAAAATATAGAAAACTTAAGTTCTCAGGTTCATACATATCCAAACAAAAAACTTTTTTTTTTACTGAATACACAATCTTATGTAATTATCTACCAGTCAATAAATTGTCTTGATTGTTATACAGCACATCAAAAAATAAATAATCATATTATATAATCTAGTTTTATAATGCAGCATTTTTCATTTTACAACCTAAAAATCTCCTAAATGACAATATATCTTCAGCTGTTAGCAGTGTATTTCAATTTAGTCCAGTATTTAATTTTTATATCAATGTTATCTTCATTGTTCTCTTATATTTTATCTTGTAGTTTTTAGAATATAAATATGTCTGTTTACTCCCTTTAGGTGTGGTGGCATGAATCCATTGCAATATCAATAGCTGTGTTAGAAACACATATTTCTCTTTCTGACTTTAGGGTGGCCATGTAAATTTTTAGCAAAGTTCTTTACTATCTACAGTAGCCAATTTATATAAAAATTTAAAAAAGAGAATCACATTTTTTAAGAGTTTCTTTCCTTCATATATTGTAAACTATAGGATTTTTTCTTTGACAGTTTTATTCATGTCTTTAACTAAAGAGAAAAGATATAATTAGATGATAACCTGCACTTTTATCAGTGTGACTAATTCTCTTAATGTATGTCATATTAGTTTTGTACTATGATATATTTCGAGGATGAAGTGAAAGGCATTATTTCTTGCAGATGGTAGCAGAAACCAGACATTGTTGCACTGCTTTCTTCAAAAAAATTAAAAAAATTAATACTGTAGCATATTTTCCTCTTTATCCAAACTTACATTTTTGGATATAAGTTTAACTTTTTGGTTGGGATTTATAAAAATTTGTTTCTACTAATGACAAAGCTGCATGTAGGTTCAAGATATTGCCTTGAAATGAATAGCTTCCTATCTTCCAATACTATCAACTGAATCATTTTTGAAAAAGAAAAAAAAACTAATTTAAACAGGAATCCGTTTATTCCCCACCCCTTTCACTCTACCCACCTCGTTTTGAATTAATCTAGTAATGCACTTCATTCAAAATTATCTTCATCATTCCTGTTCCTTTCCCCTTTCAACAAAGTTATAAGGATTGTTGTTATGATGTTTGACTTTTAGTTTTGATTTTGTTTTTGGTTCCTCTGACAGCAAACAACCAAGAACCCATGGATTTTCTCCTCGGTGAGTTTTTGTCATATAAGGCTGGCTGCTTTTGATTTTCAAGTTTACGGATAATTTTGCAAAATTGGGATGAGTACTGGGCCAAAAATATATCTATTTTCTATTTGTACTTGAAATTTATGTGACTAGAATTTCTTTTTTTTTTAATTATGCAAATATTTCTCATTATTAATCATAATAGTAATAATGTCTTTAAAATAATGAAAATTAATACATTGTATAAAAAAATGAAAGCAGAATAAACTTAAGTAAATTTTTATCAGTTTAAGACTTTTATAAAGGATTGTATCATTTAAATAATGGAAATACTTAAGTTAAAATTCAGCTTTCAAAGATTATAAATTATTTCATATATAAAGTGTTGCCTAAAATGAAGTTTAAGATCTCTTGATGATAAAACAAAATTTGATCATTTCAAGATTTCTGAATCGGGAATAAGTTTAGTTTCTTAAAGGTTCGTTAAATTTGTTTCTCCATCAACTCTTTATTTTTGATATTACTTTTCAATAAAATAATTCATTTATCTCTCTTCAGCATATGTAATAATATTTATATTCTGCATTTTTAATAACAGTATGCTGACAAACATTTTCTTGTGTATTTTTCAACAATTAATTATTCTTGCTTTATTTATTGATAATGCTTAAATGAAAAAACATCAGCTAAAATTCAGTAAGCTTTCTGAACTAGTGGCATGTTATTATAGATTTGATGAGTATAATCAAAATAAAGAACAAGAAGGGATACACTGAAGTGCAGACCTCTGCCAAGGCTTAGCAAAATGTCTACATTATTACTTGAGTTTATACTTTTCTAATATTTCTTGTTTTTCCTCATGCTTGGCGCTTGAGCAGCCATTTCTCAAAGCATTTAAGCAAATTCCTGTTAACTCTTTTTCTATTTCTCTATGTAAGTATATAATTCTATCCACTGACACTTTTCTTTTTCATTATTTTGTATTTATGTTCTTATGCTTGGTGCTTCAAATTGACAGAACTTTCAACTTGTCAAACTTAGTGCCTCAGTAGCAAGAGATGTTATAGGCTAATTCATTTTGGAAAATCCTCTCTCCTGTTTTTTTAGTACATTGCTTTTTATATTTTTTTTTTTTTTTTTTTTTAGCTCAAAAAATATAACTAGATAGGTTGTAGATTTAATGTAGGGAATATAACTATGTTCATTGAATTTTGGAACAACCCCCATCATTTATATCATTACAGACAAATGGGGGAAAAAAAAAAAAAAAAAAAAAAAAACACACCTTGGCAGACAGGATATTATAATTAAATGAAATTAAATCTTTAGCATTGTGAATTTATTTTTTGTTTATTAGATATAAACTATCTGAAACAATGATTTCTGATTCAAAGTAAGTTGCTACTGAAATATTCGCTTGTAAATAATTTAAGATAATAGTTGAAAACATTTCAGAATTTAAATAATGAACATTACAATTATTGATTCCAGATTTGAAATATTTATTTTACTTAAGATATCTTAATGACTTTATAAACTAAAAAAAAATTAATTTTCCTTATGATTTTCCTTTTCATTTGTTAATAGATAAAATAAGGTCTTTAAATGACGTTAAGCATTTTTTTCTTTTCCATAAACTATCTGGTACTCTTAAATATCTGATTTCATATAATAATAGAAAGCTTTAAATTTTTATTTGAAAAAATACAAAGCTTAGGTTTAAATCTAGTAGCAATCTGTTTTTATCATCCTTCAAAAGGACACAGATTTCAATTTTTATTTTTTTAATTGAAAATGTCTCTTTTTCATAGATTGCAACATGAATTATAAAAGCCTTTTCTTAAATGCATGTGATTTTTCATTCAGATTTTGTTAGTGCAAAATTGAAATTTCTTTTTCCAATGGTACATTAGACCTTAGATGAATAACTGAAAAATTAATAATTAAATACTTTAAGTACTTACATTCTTGTAAGAGGCTTATTAAAACAAAAACAAAAAAAGACATGCATGAATATTTTTAAGCATGACTTTGTATACAATATACATTTATAATTATTCATTCTTGATATTTTTTTTTTTTTAACTCTCATTGCTTTTTGTCATAACATTCCAGGTCAAATATCTTAAGTAATCACAAGAATTCAAATAATATGCTGAAACTTCTCTAAATATCAGTATTTCTGTTGATATATGCATAATTTAGGATTGTTTCTTTTTTTTAACATATATTACCTTTGTCATTAACATATAAATATTTATAGAAAGAAAGAGAATCTTTTAAATCATTTTTTAAAATTTTAACAATTAAACCATGGGAAGATTGGGGACTTTTGCTCTTTAGTTAGCTAAGAATTCTTTTAAGTATTTTATTGCTTATATTAAACCATTTGAATTTTATTTTCTTAATAAATAGGATGGTTCAAATACATAATTTTTGTTTAATTTTCTGTTTGTTCCATACATAATAAGAAGCATTTTTATTGAGATTTTCCCCCTTTTATGTATGTTTTTCTTTTTTAATGCTTTTTAATTTTCATTGCTTCTAAAATCCGTAAACCTGTGAATCAGCTGCTTGAGCCTATTTTTGTATGCCTTACAAATGTACCAACTCCAAACACAATAAAAGGCAGGTTCTAACACATTAACACAGTGTTTATATGAAATACATATATGTAAACAGAAATAGAGTGTAGCTTAGTATTATATTGCCTGCAAATAATATATATTTTACTGCACTCAGATAATATATCCTTGAGATTAAACATCAAAGGAATGTTCATTAATTAGTCAGTATGTCCTATGCAGTTTACTACAGAAGTTAAGCATTAGACTTTTAATGTAACAGGCTTAACAAATTTTAACAGAAATATCTGATTTATATATCAAGAAGATTCTAATGTACTTTAACAGTATTTAGGGAAATTTTCTTTTTTCTTATTATGATACATATTTATGTATAGATATAAATCGGAGTATACAAAACAATTTCTCTAATTACATGTAATTCATTTGTTTGCTATTTCTATGTAACCAAGTTGTAATTTTGTTTCTCTTGCAAGTGGCACCATATTAACCATTTTCATTTAGTTCACGGGTGAATTGGTTTATCTACAGTTATTCTGTGCAGTATAAAAGAATACAGAATTAAAACAAGAATATTAAAAATTAAGTTTTCTGATTATTTAAAATGATTTAATATTTACTTATTTTTAAAAAATTTAATACTTATAAGTTAATTGTATTTAAGGTTTATTTGATATGCTTCATTTATTGAAAGCAAAGTGACCATAGTTTAATGTATCCCTTGTAGAATAACTGTGATGGTTTAGATTTTTACATTTTTAGGTTCTATTGTAGGCTTATAATAATAAACAATTCTAACACATTTATCTATAAAATCTTTTGTTAAATTCATTAAGATTTTGACCAAGTTGCTTAATAAGCACATGTTTTGGTCATATTTTCCAAGTTTCCTATTATTATTGATTCAAAGTGAATATTTGTATTTTGAGGCATTGTATTCAGTTTACTTTAAATAGGATACAAGAATTTGATTTTCTACTTGAACATTTTTTTTTTAATCTTTTCACCCCATGCAAGATGATAGTGCCTCTAAGGCACAAGGTGTTAGTGAGAGTGAAAGAAAATGAGAAAGGCATTAGTGAGGTGGAGGATGAAAAAGCACAGAATTGAGGAAGGCTGAAGGTGGCGATTAGTGTTATATATATGACTTCTATAAATACAAGGAGATTTAAGTATTAAATACTCACATTTTGTTTTTGATGATTCCCCCCTCCTTTTTGTAATGAAAAAGAAACTATTTGTACTAAGAAGTGATGATTACTTATAATTTGATAACTGGTTCAAATTTATTTCAATTTTGGCATTTTGTCAATGTTTTTAACTTTTCCTTTTGTGGTAAATATATTCAGTGATCATCTAGTCTTTTGTAAGTGAATACTTCTTTGACAATATCTGATTAAAAGAGTCACATTTACTATTCTTCTAATGTGACATTAAAAACTTAAGAAAAACAAAGCAGTTTGTTTGTTGTTTTTTTTTCTTCATTTTTTTTTATAAGAAAATTCATAAATTCCTGTATTAGAGTAAAACTGATTGTATTAAATTTCAGTTTTCTTAATCTAACCCAGTATTGCAAATCAGGTGTTAGGAATTCTATTTTTCTTTCTTATTTTTCCCACACTACACTTTCAATTCAAACATGAATTTGTTCCTAGATGATAAACATTTTTCTTATATTGAAAGAAAGAAATAATATAGGCTTGAATAAAAAGAGAAAAAAATGTTGAAATATCATGGCATCAACTTAAAAAAAGAAGAAAAAATCTATCAGTTTTAATGCATATTTATCTTCTTTTTTTTTCTGAAATACCTAATACCTTTATCTTGTTCAAAATGATTGTTTTAGTCATTCAAATATTGTCCTTAGAAGTAGTAGTAGATCATTAAACCACTTTATTTTACACATCCACAAATTGCTGAAAATTACAAAGGATATGAAGCTGTGGAGAGCCATGATCATCTATGTTCTGATGGGATACAGCATGTAAAAACAAGATTTTTAATCGAAATTTCTAACATGCTAGAAAGGATTAAAAAATTTAAAATAATCAAAAAGTACTTTGATCTTTCCTCTTAATAATAACATAAACATTTTGATGATAAAACTGTTTATCAAGCTTGGGTCCTTTTTTTCATTATGGAGTACTCTTCTTTTTTTTTTTTAGCGAACTTTTGGAGGTATCTAGTTTTGAGGTCTGCTATATTTATGGGTTAAGTGCTCATTATCAGGGATAGAGCATATGGAAATATAAAAGCGGACATTGAGGTCAACACTCAGCAGCAGCAGTTTGTTTCATGCTTAAATGCAATTGTCAGGCCATCTGAATCACAATCGTCAGCTTGTATCTTCTTATGTATACACTTTCTGTTTTTATAAACAAATTGATTTTCACTTAGAAATAAAAACCAGGAATAATTTCATCTTTATATGCCAACTGG